TTTCAGAACCCTGGAAGATCCTATTGTTTCTTTCTTCCCAGATTGACCACAAAACAGCTGCTCTTGTTGCTCTCCACATTGCTCTCCCCTTCTTTGGAGTTCTAAAGAAGTTCGGATCAAAGAGTCTTACTACATCCGAAGGAGGGGTCCACTTGCATCCAAAGAGAGAGGAAAACCAATTCCAAACAAAGGATACAAAAGGACAGGATATAAATAAGTGTGTAATGGTTTCGCCACAGGCCAAGCAGAGGCTACACACGTGGGGTGAAAAGCAGTAGTTTGGCCTTCTTTTTATATAAAAAGACAGAAAAAAAAGGAAAGGAAATGAAAAGAAAGGGGAGGGAAAGAAAAAGAAAGAGAAGAAAAAAAGAGAAAAGGAAAGAAAAGAAAAGGAAAGGGAAGGGAAGGGAAGGGAAGAAAAGATAAGGGGAAAGAAAGTGGTTTGCCCCCTGCCCCTTCGACTGGGGGGCTTCGCCCCCCTTTTCGATGCAGCCCAATTTGTTTTTTTTTTGAGTTAGGGCGCTTACGCCTCCTTGTGTTCAGGAGGCTTACACCTCATGCCTCTAGGTAGTGGAACGCCTCGTGTCACGCCTCTGCGTTTTAAAACATTGTTCATTACCTTTATGACTAAGTAACTTAAAAGTTTTATTCTGACTTTTTAAGTTTTGTTTTCGCTTAGGACTCCAGACTCTCATTGAAGTCAACTATTTTAGGTAAGAAAACTATAGGTTCATCACTTCCCTTCTGACCATTATTTCAGAGATCAAATTTTAACTGCTTAACTTAATTAGACATCATTACAATTCAATTATCTTCAAAACAACCCCAGGATTTTATGGATCTGATATGAACTTCAAGAATTATGACCGACTTAACAGGGTATTAATTTTCTAATAGGAATTGAATTGATTGTTCAGAAGTAATACTTTATATTCTTCTGGCAATTTCTTAATAATGAAAGGAGCTCACACAAGAGGAATTCAGAACAAAATGTATGATTTTTCAACTTAGGGAGCACATTGTTGTTGTTTTTTGATCAATAACTGTTAAAACTTTTATTAATTATGATGGAAGAGAATGTTTTTGTTGGTTGAACTTCAAAGAATGTTTTTATTGAAAATGGTTACTTTTCAAAGACTAAAATTAAACAGTGTACAACTGTTGAACATCCAAAATAAGGTGTCGATGCCTCGTTCTTCAAAGAAATTTGGTAGTTACTTACCAAAAAGAAGAAAATATTAGGTAGTTCTTCTTTGATCTTTTTTAAGTCCATATAATTGAACCACAGAACCCACATCCCAAATCTTTTTTATTTGCTTCTATGACCTAAAACCCTAACCAAGGTACATATCTTAATAAAAAATATCAATACCAATTTCTCCTATATTTAACAACTCTAAAAACCTTGAGATCACACTAAAGAAAACCCTAACTAGACAGTTTCCATTGATTGAATAACAAAATTTCCTCCTCTGTTAAGTAAGGTTTAATCCTTTATGATCTGCACCTGTAGGAGGATTTACCCTTTTGTTTTGGCATCAGAAGAAAAGGTCTCACTCCCTATGCACCCATTCCTATACCTATACCAGATCTACCAACTTACCAAGAGAGAAGAACCCAACAATCCAAAAATTTCCTAGGCTTGGTTGGGTCTTCATTTCATTTCTTGAAAGACACCTTCAACTTCCTTAGCAAGGACTGAACTATTATTTGATGGCATAAAACAAAGAAGGGGTATGGTAATATGATGAAGTGGGTGGTACCCAAATCCTATCCAGATCCAGATTTGTATTTAGCAGGTTTGGATTCTCATAAAGATCTATATTCTAAAACAAAGCCAGTGCAAATCTGAAAGGATTCAAGAAAAATGTAGACAAGGTAATGGAATATGGACCCTATCATGTATGTATATTCCTTTAGGCTGCTTTTAGTAAAAGTGCAAATGCAGAACCAAAGCAAATTTGCACTCTGGTTCAGTTTTTGCAGCTGTTTGGTAAGAATGCATTTCATACTGAAAATGTAGTAAATTTGTTTTTTAACTGTTTCTACATTCAAAATGGGAGCAAATTTTCCACTTTGTACTCAAAGTTGGTCAATGTAAAATAGGTTGGTTCCAGCCTTGAAATTCATGTTTGCACTCATTACAACCAAACAAAACACTGTAAATTTCTCTGTGCAAAACCAAACTTGGTTTGCATCCTTCTATTTGAACAAATTTGCATTCACTTCTTGCAGTCTTACCAAATGCAGCCTTAGGGTCCAACCAAAAGACATAAATCAAATGAACTAGAATGGATCCACCCTACAGGATCCAAAATCACATCTGGATTCATTTTCCCCACCTGGATCCAGATCTGGATTTGGCGGCACCCAATCCAGATGAGACCTGTTTCATTCCTTAAAAAGGGGTCCTACAGCCTAAACAATTACATGTAGTATAGCCTTTGCACCTCATATATATTATACACCCCCCCCCCAAAAAAAAAAAAAAAAACAGAAAACACTAACAAATTTCAGCCCTTCAAAATCTGCAAGGTGGAAGCCCAAGAAAAGATTATACCTTCCACCTTTGCAGTGACTGAGATGGAAAAGAAGAAGAAGTTTTTGATCTTTTTTGATAGTAAAGATAAAGAAAACTTAATTGATCTTTTTTATTTATTTCACATATAAGGTAGGGGGCATTGCTTTGTGTAAGGGCAAAATCTTGAGATGACAAGCATGAAAATATGGGTTCAAGTTTGATAGCAGCTATATGCAGCTATATATATACACCAAGAAAATAAATAATAGGATCTAGTTGAAATCCACCCTAAGTTGCCTGATAAAACACAGCATCCCCCCAGCAAGTCATACTCTAGGATCTCTTTTCCATTAAAGCATCTAAACCATGCACCAGCAAGGTCTTCTCTTTCTTTTGTTTTGCTAGTGGAGACTGGAGAGTCTGTTTATCATCTACTAATATCATGTTCTTTTGTGGCTTGAATTTGGGAGGGTTTCTTTTCTCTTTTTTGGTGTAGGTGGTCTCCTCCCCTTGAGATAGAGACCTTTGTTATAGGAATTGAGATAGAGAGTTTGTTTAAACCCTCTTTCTTTTCTCCACAAAGGAAGAGAGGGAAAACACTATGGAGACATACTAGAAAGGCAGTTCTTTGGACAATGTGGGAAGGGAGGAAAGTAGTGTATGAACCACTTTCACTAATATGTTTTCCATGATCTCCTCTCAAGACAACGAAGTTTGATCCCTTCTCTATAGACGCCATTCCTAGAAATTGGCACAAGGTGACTGCTTCATCAACCTCCAAATCAAATACATCCTTGCATTTTTTTTTTTTTTTTTGAAAAAGAGACTTTCATTACTTTCATTAAGCAAAGGCAAAAAGAGAGAGGGGATATAAAAGGAGGCTCTACAAAACCAAAAGCCCCATAACAGAATTACAATGGAAAAATGATAGCACTATACAGAAAAGTCCCATCCACCCCAGATTTAGCTAAGGAGTCAACCAAGACATTTTGATCTCTAGGAATCCATCTGAAGGAACACGAAAGAAAAAGGGGAGAGCTCTTTGATTTCACTGAGTAAGTAATCCAATCTCCAAGGTCCTACCTCCTGTTTAGAAGCCCACCCAATAACAATTCTAGATTCACCCTCCACAACTAAAGGGTTAACTTGAATTGATCTAGCTGCTCTTAGCCCCATCAAGAGAGCTCTATGTTTGGCTTCAGCAACATCAGTAATACCAATTGGCACACTAAAAGCCCATAAGGCAGCACCATCCAATTTACCAATGAGGCCACCAATCCCAGCAGGCCCTTGACCACCCAAAATACATCCTTGCAATTGTCTCCACCGCATGACACAGAGATCAAACTAAGCTTTGATACGTGCAGCTTGAGCAATCCTGAACTGCTGGGCATAAGAGGAGTTATTAGGGATTTCCATGGGTCTTTCAGTACTAATAGGTAATGGGAACTTCACAATAGCTGAACTAATGGCAGTTTTACAAGGTCTACAATTGGAGATGCTACTTAGTATCGGAACCTTGACAGTAAAAGGGGACTCAAAAGTTATTGTGGTTTGGTCAAAAAATGGCAGCCAACGAACATGACAGTACACAAATATTGTCTCCCTAGGTGATAGTTGTTTGGCAGATGTACATATATACTTTGTTTCAATCTAATAAATTTTCAAAGTTACTAATAACAAAAACATCTAGACCATGCATGGGGACCAAGTCTAATCTTGAATTTGCCCCACAAGCAATGTTGGATACTAACATATGTTGGGCTTTTCTTATCAGTAGAGATTGCATTTATCATTTTGGGAAAGCCACAAAATGTGTAGCATGATCTGAGTACACAAGGTAGCTCATCCCAGGAACCCAGAACCAAGGTTCAAAATTTCGCAATGTATCAGCCCGTATACATATCATTCTGACAAAGGTCTGATACACAAAACATGTAGAAATTACTCATTCTACTCTTTTTTTGTCTGTATTGGGGCAATACAGGCCCATATCGGACCATTTCAGGTCTGTATTGACCGTTACAGGCCAATACAAGTGTATCGGCCAATACATTATGACACGGGCCTCTCTCCCTCCTTCCCAAATTCAAATTTGTCTCTACCATTAGTCTTTCTCTTATTCCTAATCTTTCTCATTAATTACTCTCTCCCTCATTAATCTTTCTTGTTTATTACTTCTACACTTGAGACAAATTTTCGATTTCAAATTTGGCACACCATTCTAGCGCCCAATACCTATAATTTTGGGTATAAAAACTAGAAGTAGGCAATAGAAAAGGTTTAAACCCTGCTCATTAGCTTTAAGTCCATCACTACGCCCTATTCTATTTGCTTGTTATAATTGTATGCATTTTGATTCCTAAATAAATTTTCTCTTCTTAGTAGATGTTTGTCAAATAAATGCTAAAAATGAATATTAAAAACTTATATATTAATAAATATTAAGACAAATTATATTGATTTTCTGAAAATCAAGGTATAGACATAACACATTTTAGTTCTTCCATCATTTTTTAACGGTTACCAATTGTGTCTTGATATCTCACACTTTATATAAACCATTGAAGTATGTTTTTTTATGTTTAAATAACGTATTTATAGTCTTATGTTGCTTGTATTTATTGTTATTAATATACATTTTAGGATTTATTTAAGTTTCCTAGCATATTCATGCATATCTTGATTTTTCGTCTGTATCCATGTGTATTCAAAGCGTATCTTGACATGTCTCTTAAAATTGCCTTTCTAATACGCTTTGTGTTTCCAATACTTTAAACCTTACCCAGAACTTTCATGGTTTAAATAGGAGTTTTATATAATTATGTGCTTTAGAGGTTAAAAGAACATAGACTGAGAGATTCCAAATCTCTTCCTTAGTAATTGATTTTAGGGTGATTCCAAGATTGCAATCAAGTGGTGCCAAAAGGTAGGCAGCAGTCCATAGAGGTTTTATGGTTTAAATAGGAGTTTTAGATAATTATGTATTTAAGAGGTCAGAAGAACATAAACTGAGAGAACCCAAATTTCTTCCTTAGTAATTGAGGGTGATTCCAAGAGTGCAATCAAGTGGTGCCAATAGGCGGGTAGCAGTCCATGGTTGATAAGCTTACCAAATCAGGACTGACTGCCAATCTGTAGATCCGCTCATCTTCCTCCATCAATATATGATTCAATTACTCCATCTAAAAAATAGAAGAGAATAGCAGAAAAGAGTTTGAATTGGTTTTAGGATATCTATTTTCTCACTTTTAGTTGTTGATGATGATTCACTAGCCAGTTGTTTTTAGGTAGAGGGGTTAGTAACTTTACCAGGATAAAGTTATAAATCCTATCCCATGTCATAGTGGGCTCATTGTTTTTTTATCAGAGCTCCAAATGATTATCCTCTTTTTTTTTCTTTTCAAAGTTCTAATACTTTGGAACTAAGTATTAGCTACCTTTTCTTAATTTGAGAATTGAGATTAGAAATTATTCCCAGAGATTTCACAGCCCTCTTGGCTTTTATTTTTAGTTGGAGTTACCTTTATAACTGGATTCTTTGACTGGCTATTCTCTTATGTTGTATCTTTGTATTGAAGTGCCTCTGCCTCTTTTGCTCTGTAATGGAATTTCTATTTAATTATACAAAATGAAGACACTGTCACTTCATATGTTACATCAAGATACATGTTTTGCAACTCAACCAATTCATTTAATACAAGAGCAAATGTATGAAAAGGTTAATCTAAATGAACTACTGATTTCTATAAAACAATCGAGAAGAACAAAGTTAGCATGCACATCATATCTTGCTATGAGCTGCCATCCTCCTCACTGCTTCTATATCAACTTTCCTCTCTAGTCTCTATAAAGTAAGATAAATCTATTCTGTGGCCGTTTTGAAAGACATACCACCTACAACATTAAAATAATCTTGCTTCCATCCAATCTACCCCAGTAAAAGAAATTAAAGAGACAGAGTACATGTCAAAGGATACAAGATTTCTGATTCATCATAATGGCATTATCTTTCTCACATACAGTTAAACAAGAGGTATCAGACCATGGTCCCAGCAAACATGCAAAGTTGCATGTGAATTAATATAGAGAAATCAGATAGATATTACCATTGACGTCAACCTAGAAGGTAACCAACAGCAGCCAGACTTAGGACACATGGATGACCCAGTTAGCTGCAGCAGATGTAATTTTTCAGCGGCTAAAATGAATGCAGGATTTAAAGATACAGTTTGAACCTCAGAATTGAATCCAGGATGGCACGAAATCTCATAGACAAGCATCTATCATGTAAAAGTAAGTCTTAGAGCCTTTCCCACCTTATAAGAGATTTTTTTTATGCTTAAAAATCTAGTTCTCATGGTTGCCTCGGCCAATAAGTTGTCTAACTCACTTGTTAAGGACAGATCTGTTTAAGAGGGATGTTATGAGATAAGAACTACCCACTCACCAACCCCCCCCGCGGGCATCTTGATCCTCTCCTGCTGAGGTTTATAAGATTTATAACCACTTTTTATATAATATTTGATAAATCTGAGGTTTATAACCCTTTGGTATTCTTTTATCCTTTTATTAGCAATATTTCTTTCCAAACACTCAAGATGAAAAAAGAAGGGAGAAATATCAATGTAGGTAAAACTTTCTGGATCTTATAAAAATATTTCTTTCCTGGATAACTTTTTAATCTTTTGATTCTGATCTGCTCACTGTTTCAGCAAGTTCTATAACATCAAACGATTTTTGTGCATGACAAACCTGTGATATGCCGAGATTTCTTACATTCACTTGCAACTTAGAAGAGAGACACACTTAATAAGCAAAGAAAACCTAACCTAAGCAGCCATTCTGATTTATTTATACACACAATCTTTCAATACAGCTAAAAAAACAGCTTTTAACTGAAGGCAGAAGTCCAATTGACAGTAATTTTACAGATGGATGTAAAACCCTAATATATCCAACCAAGTGGAAAAGATTGTAAGCATGCATTTTGTAAAGCACAGAGCAACAAAGTGCATCTCTTGGATAGCCTGCAGAAGCCTGAATTAGAAAGAAATCTGCACAGAGGAGCAAAAGCAAATGGTTATGGTTATGGTTCATTTATCTGTATCTCATTCAATTAAAAGTAAGTTGCTTGCTCTTTAGCATATGCTTCCCTTTCGGTCAAGCTTTAGGTATTGGCATATGAACTCTAGAGCCTTTTGTCCATCTGCTTTATCTAATAAATAAGCGGATGTTACTAATTTCACTAATGCCTGCAGGTCCCATGGAAAGCGAGAGTCGGATCCACCAAGGAGAGAGAAAAAAAAATTGAATCTAGAGCCTTCAGTTCATCAACCACACTCAGTGACGGAATCAAAATTCGGCAGTTCGAATCCTCCCTAATGGTATTCACTCCAGAAAGTAAACCCTGGCCCCGTGATCTCAGATCTCATCACTTTAAATTGATAAATAAAATTGAGGACACGCAAACACGAAACTGAAGACAGTCGAATCTAGCTCTACGGCTAAACTAAAGCAATTGAAGCATAGTTCCCAATTAGCTGAGAAACTAAGCACCAAAATCGAACCTCAATACCAAGTAATCCAGCTTGGATAGTAGTAAGTAGTAATCAAATCAGTATACGGAGTAATGAAGTCGGTAAAAGGAAGTGAAGAGACAAACCAGATTGCTGTTACATCGTTCAAGATCCAAACACTTAACGGCGACAACTTCATTAAAAGGAAGACAGATCGCCCTATAAACAACGGCACTGGCGCCATAGCCGACCTCTTCGAGGAGCTTGTAATCGTCCTTGTTGGCAGAATAGCTTTTCCGGCCGTTTCCCATCCTCCCCATATCCTGACAACCGCCTTAAAAGAAGTTGAGAAAGCCACGGAACAAAAGATCGGAAAACCGCGAAAAAACAGTCGGAAACCGCTCCTCCAGTTTTCCTTTTTTTTCCCCTTTTTATTGTCCCTTTTAGCTGCAACGACGATCTCGGTGTCTATCCATAAAAAAAATAAAATAAAATCTCGATGACCCGATGTCCTTAATTTCCCCTATTTTTTCTTTTTGGGTTCTTTGATTCTTTTAACATTTTTATCTTTCCGTTGACTACCATCAAAAACGGGGAGAGGACAGAGAGAGCGAAAGGAAGTTGGGTAAGGAGATGCCGATTGCAAACATGGCAGAGGTGCTCCGTGATTGGATGTTTGCCACGTGTCGACTGTACCGATCCGAGACGCCTGGACGGCTGGACCCACAAGTTAGGAATCACTTTCTCCTCAGAAAGACATAAATTTGTCGTTGGTTTTTTGCGGGTCTGTAGTCGGGATTCCAGGAGGGAGGATACCTCATCTCTCGTTCTGGCTTAGTATGTATGTACGTATCGGCGCCAAAACGTTGGATGTGGCAGAAAAGTTTACGGTTATACGGAACCGTAAAGATTGCTAACGTGCGCGAAAAGCACACGGAATCACAAACAGGAAAATGGCAGTTTTCACTTTTCACCATCCACTGCCATACTTTCTCTACAGACTCAAGGTCGCTCCCGTCCAACACAGGGATAAATTTAGGACTGGGTTATTTTTGGCCTCTTTCATCTCAAACTGCGAGACTGCAACTCTGCAAGTATGTAATGACAATGTAACCCTGAAAACGAAACACTGCGAAGATATTATATATTTTCTTTCAGCTCTACTACTAGTTTTGAATTAGACTAAAATAAATCGCGTCACGTGATATTTCGCATTTGTTTATTTTGCAAATTGGAAGGGCGATCATCCAGCCTAGTTTTCTTTGTTAGCATTCGAACTTCGAAGGTGTTGCACCTCCGACGACGGCGACAACGGCAAGTAAAGTGGAAAGAGAACAGACAAGATCGAGTTCACACTTCACGCCTCCTCTCCATGAGCACAATGGGTCGGGTTTATCCGATGCATTTGAATGACCGAACCAATTATAATGGCTCTCATTTTATAATTTTGTTCCAATTAATACTTGGATCGGTTCCTGCTCTTGTCTGTTGTGGTTCAGATCCATAATTGATTATTTTATTAAATATATATAATATCTTTTATCTTTTATAATTTTATTACATTTTATGTTTGAATAAATATATAAGATAATATTAGTTAAAAATGTTTAATTTATTAATATATAAATAAATTAATATTTCTTATCAATTTTATTAAAATTACATTATCAAAATTTAAATTTTAAATTATTCGGATGTCTACAGACTACGATTTTATCTCGATTAATAAACGGTTCGGGACTGATTCCACTGAAGCCGATCCAGACCCGAGCCGTTGAACACGCTGCAGTGCTGCACGCACGAGATCCCCCCTGCCCTCCAAATTGGCAAAATTCAAATTCATCCCGAGGTTTTTTTACAGTCCAAAAAACCTCCAACACGACTAGTATTTTCTATTCTTACCTAATTACTTTATCGTCGTTTTCAAATTCAAACAATTTATCGCATGTTCTTCTACCTTTGTTTTTTGGTGTAGGTGTTATTCTACCTCTGTTGCTTTACCAAAGAGTAAGCCCGCACACGTCGAGGTCGAATCACAGCTTTGTTTAATGCTTCACAGCTCTTGTGAGTCGTAAGTCGTATCATATGCTTGCATGCTTGTTGACGATAGAATAGAGAGAGTGAAGGTTCACGACGATTGTAGACCACAAACACAAATCATGACATGTGCCACGTGTACGGATACAATTAATTATGAATACAAGCAGTTCCCAACCTGAGAAGGAGCACGTGAAAATCGTATTTCTCTTAGTTAAATAGTTAATGTTCATTATCATCCATCTCACCTGCGACCTAACATCACTCTTACATGTTAATAAGCATCAAGCATGGGCAACGCGAGTAATTCGATTCGATATTATATATTATATATAATAATTAAATAATCAATCAAATTTGGATATTTATTGAATCCAATCAGATTATATTTGAATTCAATCAATTAGATATTCGAATTATTCGATAGTTAAATTTTGAATTTAAAATTAGATTTTCGAATACTCTTGATACCCCTAATCCAGATGTATAAATATATAGACAAGGTTCAGATAGAATCTGTATACTCGTATGCACTACAATTATAGAACCATTTCATCTGAATTCGAGCCGAATTCCTATGCATTGGCCTTTGATTGGATTTGGATCTGATTTATTATATTCAAAATAACAAAAAAAATTAAGTCTTAAAAATTAATCGATAAGTAACACCTGATTGGCTATAATATTTATGATTTCATTTAATTAGTCAAAAAATTTTCAGATATCATATCTATCCCATATCATAATCGAACCCTTTTAACTTATACACGTATCAGTTATTCTCTCTTTCTCATTGGGATTTTAATCTAATTGATTGGGTGAGGTTAAATCAGCATTAAATCCAATTATTACTCCGATGCACCTTCTAACATCTAAATTCAGGATAATCAGAGTTAAAGCCAAATCGGATATTGGACTTTCCGAGTCCATTAATATCCCTTAAGTAACAACAAGGTGGGGCGAGAAAGAGGCTATACACCCCATCCCCAATTAGGTATTTCAAGGGACAAATGAGATATTAAGCTCTTGGAAGAGGTTCTTCAAGTTGTGGCAATCATTCACAACAAGGTCGAGACAATGAAAACCATAAGTCTCATAGTTCTTGACGAGCGGAATGGCTTCCAGAGCATCAAATTCCAGCCATAAACGCTTAATACCCAAATGGTCAGAACTTGGAGGCCCAACACCCAGCAATCCAGCATCAAGAACCGATTCACACAGCATTGATTCCTCGGTCACTGCCTCCAAACAACCTTCTGAGTTCTATACAAGCAATTCCAACCTTGTAATCATGTCCATGAAAACTGGCATCATACGTAGCTTTAAAACCACCTAAAGGAGGGCACTCCCAACTCGCATGCTAGCCTGCTAGGGGGGTTGCAAATTTGAATAGGTATAGGGTAGTGAGAGTTGGGTGATCTCATGCATCATCCTACAACTTGTTGCAATCTCATGAAGCCGAGTTTTCTTCACCTTTAGGCTATGTTTGGTTTGAAAGAAAAAAAGTAGAGAAAGAAAGGAAAAGACGGGGAAACTTATACAAGGATCGTAAAGGTTTTCCTACCTTTCTCTACCTTTTTCTTCAAACCAAACATAACCTTAGAAACAAAAGGATTCATAGCTTTCCACATGTTTCAACACGTGATTGCCACGAAAGTTGGGTCAATGCACTCCTGTAAGATATCCCAAGAACTAATCCAGTTCTAAACTTACAATGGAGCAGAATATGAGCGATTTATTCTTCTTTGTCTCCAAATCTTGGGCAAAAAGGATTATCAACTAACCATATTTTGAACAATTCATTCTTCGTTGCAATGCCCCCTAACAGCAATGCTAGAGAAAGGAAATAATTTTAGGAGGAGCTTCTAATCTCTAGATTCTACACCACACCTTTGGATTAGGTTGATGTCTACAGTCTCCCGAATTAGCCATTGATGATGCGCGATTTGGGAGCTCCTATCTGGAGGATTGCTTGGACATACTCGCATGGTGAGCTGGATCAAATTGCAAAACAGGGATCAGAGAGACTAGGGTGGATGACCCGGGGAGGTCGCTCCGATGCTTAAGTCAGTATTCTTGTTACGGTTGCGAGCTAAAGTTTGATTGCTAGAGAGCTTGAATGTAAGTTATCACGCGTACCTGGGCCATGGAGGGATTGATGCCCTTATATAGCTGAGCTATCATGGATCTCCCGAAACGGTTCCGGGATCTGCAGCCTGAGTGGAAGAGATATGTTTCCGCTTTAGTCGGGGAGTAACGTATCAATCAATGGAGTTTATCGTCGTCGCCCGATCCGGGCGGGGAGAGGATAAGGCCTGCTGTTACGTGACGTGATCCCGTGATATTCAGAGTCTGCAGGAAAGCTTATGGAATCGATTACGTGTCACTTCGGTTCTTGGGCCCCGAACTTGATTAGGCGCCGAGGTGACTTTATGCCGATGTGGCGTTATGCCGAGGTGACTTTATGCCGATGTGGCGTTATGCCGAGGTGACCTTATGCCAAGGTGGCCAAACATCCGAACTCTGTAAACTGCTAACTAGGACCCCTTGCTGAGTTGTCATTCTACAGGCATATCGCGTCCACGTGACCTTTACTTACTAGGTCATGCCAAATTACCCTTCATCAATTGCCCCTACTCCTCATGCCAGGGGTCTTGACCCGGTGCAGGGAGTTCATGACGAGCCTACGTGGATTTGGCACAAAGTCTAGGTGATGTGGAGGGCGGATCGTTGGTCGGACTTGTTCGACCGTTTGGCTCAACCAGAAAGTGACCCAGATTATACTCTCCGCGGACGTCAAAACGCGCGCTAAACTAATTTCAAACTTGGGGGGCATACAACCGGTTTTCCTAGGAGTTGTTGGATCGTGTTGATCTTGACCATTGATTCATGGATATATTGGTTATAAATAGCCAAAGGGCCCATTTTCTTCGCCACAAATCTACGAATCCAAAATCCTTGAGGTCGCGTTCAAGTATCCCAGTTCGGTGTCAGCTATTTCTAGGTCTAAGTTCGTCTCGTTTTCTTCGGTCTTCTTTTGGTGAGTCCATCTCCCTTTACTTTTTGATTCCATTGTCCTTTCTGTTAACATGTCTAGCCTTAGCTTAGATAGTCTTCTAGATGGGAGCGGCGAGTCCACTGAGGCCGAGGTGGGTACCTCGGCATAGACCGCGGAGCCTCATCCTGCCGAGGTGGGCACTTCGGCACAGGATGTGAACCCCAATCCGTTCGAGGCGGACTCACCTCGACGAGAGCGAGAAAGCTTCTGGCAAATCGGCCTCCACATCGTGGTTGCCTGCCGGACAGCTTTGGCCCATCAATAATGACAGTGGATAGGCTCCTATCCTTAGTATCTTGGTACAGACTCCCCAATGACTTCGTATATAGCATTCCCTTAGGCAACTTTCCTTGGGATCATAGTCTTTGAGGAGCAGCTCGTAGTCGGTCTGAGTCTTTCATTCCACCCTT